AAAAAAAACGGCTACACGTCCCGCACCACGAAATGCAGCTCCACAGGATTGCAGCTTCGCCACCATCCCCTGCTTGTAGCTCGACTCACCGTTGATACTGGCCGGCCGTTCACCATCGTCACCTTCCCATATTCTAGCACCCGATGCACCTTTCCAGCACCATGCAACAAAGGTTCCAGCTTTTGCACTCTTCAGTTGCAGTAAAAAAAAAGAAAAAACCTGAATTAACCGCGGGTTGCAGCAAAAAACAAAGAAAAACATTAAAAAAAACGAAGTTCCAGCAATCGTCGCGGCTGGTTGCAACATCCCGCCGTGTCGGTGACATTAATTCCAACACCCATGGTCGCCCGTTCCCAGCATCTTTGTGTGCTGGCTCCAGCACATACCATCACCAGTTCGAGCTTTTCTATGTGCTTGTTCCAGCACCACGCAGCGACACTTCCCGCGTATCCACACATCGGTTCCATCACCGCTCGAAGCGGGTTCCAACATCTCCTCACGCTGGCTCCAGCATTGCTAGAAGCCGGTTCCAGTAAACGGCACCATGATTGCAGCACTCCGGCGATCTGGTTCCAGCACCTTGTGTAGCCGGTTCCAGCAAAACGGAGACGTGGTCGCAACATCATTGTTCACTGGTTCCAGCCCGCCGTCACCTACCCCTCATGCACATCATCGTAGCGCACCCCCGGCTGCGGGTGGCCATGTAGAGGAGCGCACGCAGCTGGCAGCAGCCATGGCGACGAGCATGTCCCTGCTGTGCACTCCTCCCTGCACCGGCAACTCACGTGTCCCAACCGACAGGTGAGCCGGCATGGCAACGAGCACGCCCCGGCTTCCTTCTTATCTACCCGATCTCCATTCCATCCGGTGGGGAAGAAAGCAAAATGGAATGGGGATCGCGTAGATAAGAAAGAAGACCGGGTGACGGGCGATGCGTGGCCCCCACAGCCATGCATTTTGGTCGTGCTTGGGATGACCTGGCTAAACTCTGGCGGTTCGATCGCGACGGGATCCAACGATGCCTGCTCAGCCGGCCAATCGGCTGCAAACGTTTTTCATAAATATATGTAGACATTTTCATCTACACTGTATATATGCACTTCTATCCATATAAGAATTGACCAATCAAAGAACGGACTACATCAATGAAGGAAAAAAAAAGAGGACGGACTACACATGTATTATATGCACCTATATTCATCCACACTGTGTATACAAAGCTCCACCATATGTGTTCCCGCTTGGTGTGACTGCCTAGGCATTGGCCTAGCCGGCTCTCCGCAGCGCGCAATCCAGGACCCGCCGGAAATGCGCCGCATCGCATGGTACCCGAAGCACGCCCGGCTGGCCGTACCCGTAGCGTTGCGCCGTCATGTCAAGCAGCTCCGCGATGCAGGGAACAGCGAGGAGCCTCACGGGCACCACCACGCGCTGGCCGCAGCTGGTGACCATCGGGACGTGCCCCCTCGGGACCTTCTCGCCGTGACCCGGCGCTGATGGCTCGCTGCCACTCTTCTTCCTCGATGCCATGGAGATGACACGCCTCGAGCTGTTCGTTTGGTTTCTTTCTTTTTCTTGGTTGGTGCTGCGGTGAGACGACAAGGATGCTGAGATCCTCGTATTTATATGCAAGCACCGTAGGGTCCTCACGCGCGCGCGGTCAACGTACAAAACTATGTTGCTTGGCTCATATGGGCATATGGCCCAGTTGGAGACTAGACTTTGTACCACGGAGACTTTGAGAGTACCTGGATTCTTCAGGGTGAACCAGCCGGAGTTCCATTGCATTGGGCGTCTTCTTTTGACAGTTTGGGATCTATCTCTTGGGTCACCGAGTGTTAAAGAGAAGAAGCATGGATTGTCAAAAACTTGTACCGCGTGTGCCAGCTAACAAGACATTGCTATGAAATTCCATGGATTCCTCTATTTATTTATGAACTCTTGACAACTAGCTAGTATCCCACTTACAGAATTCTTCCTAAAACTATACTCCCTCCGTCCCATAATACAACAGTGTTTTTGACACGAACATTAGTGTAAAAAACCCTTTTATATTATGGGAGGGAGGGAGGGAGTAGCTTTTAGTTGCGACATTGTTATAACTTTTATCCCATTGTATTATTTCCCCAAATGAAAAGTTGGTTCCATTTTTTCGCATGGTAGCTGGGGTTGAAGAACTCGTATGTGTGGTTAGTTGCACCACGCTGCTCATGCACTAGACTGGATATCCTGAGCGAATATTGGCTAGAGTTTTATCCGTCAAATCAGCTAGGATTTCAGTCATACAGATTTAGAAAGTTTCAGGGTTTAATGTGGGCAATTTCATAGTTGTCCAGCGTTAAAGTTAGACCAAGCACCATGACTTGGAGTTTAGGATAGACTTCTTTTCTATATTTATAGGTATTGTTCTTTTACATCTCTTTGGCTTGGACTGGCGTAAACGCAACTTGACAAGTCTTCTTCGCATGTACACCCAGCTTTAGAACCTCAAATGCGGTGCATAAAGCTATCCATAAAGCAATATCTATCAGTACTCTGATATTTGAGGAAAAGATTGATAAGAGAATGACTGGTTGGATTGGGAATTTACTTTCCATTGGAGACATGGCCACTTTTAATTTGACCAATGTCTGTCTTAGCAGCATTCCATTATTTATGCTTTCCTTTTTGCAAACTCCTAAAGGTTCCCTGAAAATGATGAACTCCGGTAGAGCTAGGATGGTTTGGCAAGACAGTCAAAATAAAAAAGAAATATCACGTGATCAATTGGCCTTCTGTTGGTTTACCTAAAGAATGTGGTGGTCGTGGGGTTCAGATCTTCAGACTATGAATCAATGCTTGCTTTTCAAGTGGCTTTGGAAACTACTCCCTCTGCCCCATAATGTAAGATGTCTTTTGACACTACAGTAGGGTCAAAAAACGTCTTATATTATGAGACAGAGGGAGCAGAAAACATGAAAGGTGTGTGGCGGAACCTGTCAACAAAAATAAAACGCACATTCTCAGACCTTCTCAAGTATGGGTGCAGAATCTGGTGGATCCCACTTCTGGCAAGGTTTGATGAAAGTCAATAGTATCTTTAGAGATTTGCCAAGAGAGTACTTGGTGATGGAAAAAAAACTCTGTTTTGGGAAGACATTTGGATAGATGATACTCCTCTTGCTGTCAGATTCCCCAGATTATATACGGTGTGCTTCTCTAAGAAAGTTACTGTCATCATGGTGAAATCTGAAGGTTGGGATTGTCTGCAATTCATAAGAACTTTGAGGGGTGAAACTTATTTGAAGAATTAAAAGCTTTGGTGGATGATGTTCTTCTATCTGATGATCCTGACAGGGTGACTTGGAGAATTGGTAGCCAGATACACTTTCAATATTGTCAAATACGCTCTTATATTATGAAACGGAGGGAGTACCAACTGTTTGAGATCTATATTTACAGCTTAAGGCCGGACCCTTGTATGGTTTAGTCAGGCCGCCTAAAGATGTGGCGCTCCACACATGTCTATAGACTATATACGTATATATCCACCTACATACATCCATCTACACTGTCGACGCTGCACATATATATACATGCAGCTCCACACATGATCTCTTCACGTGTCGGCTCTGTGCAGCGCGCCGTCGACGACCCGGCGGAATTGCCCGGCGTCGCATGGGATCCGCAGCACACCTGGCTGGCCGTAGCCGTACTGCTGCGCCGCCATGTCAAGCTGCTCCGCGATGCACGGGTCCCCAAGCAGCCTCACCGGCACCACCACTCGGGCACCGCAGCCGGTGACCATCGGGACGTGCCCTCTCGGGACCTTGTGCCGCTCGTCGAAGTGGCATGGCGACGCTGACGACTCGCCGCCGTTCTTCTTTCCCCGTGCCATGGCGATCAGTAAGAAATTAAGAAGAGATCAGATACTGCTTGATCGCCTCGGGCTTGAGGACTTGGGTTTGTTCGGTGGCGCTACGGGGAGATGAAGATGCCTAGCTACTCCAGTAGTACGTTTATATATGGGGATTGGGGAGCAAGACGGGGGCCATGCATGCATGCCTCCAGTAGTGGAAGGAAGGAGTGCCTATGTTCGTACAATCGAGGTTAACGTCGTGGCCATGGATCCTTTGGGGTGGATCATGGATGGGAGTTTAGCACTTGCATGGCGTCGGCTTCTTTTGACCCGTAGAGGGATCGGTGGTATCTTTGTCGTCTCCAGTCTTGGGCCACTGATTCTTACTGCAAGGGGTGCGGGCTAGGTTCATTGCATGGTTGAACAAGTCACGCCTCACAGTTTACCCGAAAAAAGAGTTTGCTGCCTATTTGCCTAATTTGTAAATTTTTTCTGGTAAAATCTAGGAATTTGTTCCCACGGTGTATTTTGCAAATTTTGTGTGAAAATAAATGCATATAAGAGGAGTTCGGAATTAACAGTTGCTAAATCTTAAGCAAAAAAAAATGGAGAGGGGGGCATGTGGATGATTTCCCCACCTGAATATTCCACGCAAAGTGGCAAAATGCCACGAGAGTGGTCAGTTTATAAGAAAAACCAGAAAACAATAATAAATAAACCTCATTTATGAGGGAAATCAAGCCGAAAACCATACAAGTGATAGCCCGAGGGCTAAACTTCTTGCCGAAGCAAGAAACACCCAAAATACAATGACCAAGTAGTACATAATGACAATCTATAACAAAGAAGTGGTTTATGTTGGGGACAAAACTACATCATTCCTTCATAGCTGTAACGACCAATATAGGACCATCACTCACAATAAGATTCGATATCTAAGCCTTGTGTGTGTATACCTTGCACAACCAACCAAGACTATATGAAGTGAACTAACTTGCATTCAAAGAAAAGATGTTCAATTGTTCCACGTCAGTTGTATCTAAATTGACTGAATTTGCAAAAAAAAGGAGAGGAAAAAATTAAAAAGAAGGCAAAAGAATTGTCTCGTCGGTTAATTAAGAAGAAGGGAATTGCCCAATTAAAAAAAACCAGGAGAACACCAATACAAATAAACCACATGCGGACTACTCATAAAGCCCGAAACCCCATGACTGCATGGTCAACCCTACAAGCATTCCAAACACGCAACAATTACAAGCCATTAAACTACTACATTGCAAAGACACTCCTAATGAGAACACCACGAATGAATACATCGAACACCACCAAATGCACGATGATAAGCTAAACCATGAGGACAACCCAAGAGACCAAGGAACATATCCATTAAGCAGTCACATACGCCTTTCCTCATCATCTACAGAACCAATCTGGACATCAGACGACACAGACACAACTGACATGGACACAAATTGCGGACGCCTTCCGAATGGTGCCACCCTTCTTGCTTTTGTCCCGCTTTGGTTTTTATCCGCTTGGTTTCACCTTCACGAGGCAATCACCTGTCTTGTCAGGCATAAGCTGATCAGCCGCCCATTTGTCACGGAATTCGTAGAACTCACTGAAGTCACATACGACATAACCAACTTGTCGTAGAATTCATCATCTTCGCCTGCTTATCGCGTGTGCTGCCTAGCATCCAGGGCGAGTCCATCGGCGATCTCGTGGATCCAGTCCTGCAGGCCATGCCCGAGCTTCGGGAGCTACATCCGAGCCTTGCTTCGCCTTTGTCTGTGGAGCATTTAGAGGTGGAGGTGGACTCATTGACGAACTTGTGTGAAGGACGTGTTTCACCTATGTTATGTGAGCAACTAGAGGTGCATGAGCTCGCCGTGGAGGTGGTTCCCGTGGTCGATGATGTTGTGTCGATGATTCCTCTAGTTGAGGATGTCCATGCGGCTGGTGTGTTGGTGCCTGCTCCTAGGAGCCTCATGGTTGAGAGCTGCTTGTATCCATTAGATAGAAGAGTAAAACGTTAAAGATGTCACCGATACAACGCTAAAGATGAAACCACACGAAAACAAAATCACAAACTAAGCAACGATGAACAACAAGTCAACAAGCAACTAGCGCCATTCAGAAACGAATACTACTACCTAAACAAGCTGAGTTTTTACCACATGGCACAGTTTCAAAAATCAGGGAGCAGTATAAAACTAGTATAAATTTGGATGGATGGATCGTGGCGCCGCGTAGCATCAAAACTGGAATGTACTACTGGTATCAGATTAGCTTGCCCACCCACCGCACAGATACGGAAAGACAGCGCGCGCGCGAGCAGTAGTATGGTTTTGCACAGGTGGCGTGAGCAATTCAAATTTGGCACAAATTTGTAACATCCCTCGTATATTCATGTCTAAAAGAGTTGATCAATCAAAGAACAGACTGTATATCCAATTATATTTCCTCTACACTGTCGACCCTGCTCCCTGCTACGAGAACGCCGGGCGCCTAGTCGGCTCTGTGCAGCGCGCTGTCGACGACTCGGCGGACAAGTGTCCGGCGTCGCATGGGATCCGCAGCACGCCCGGCTGGCCGTACCCGTACTGCTGCGCCGCCATGTCAAGCAGCTCCGCGATGCATGGATCCCCGAGCAGGTTCGGTGCATGGTTGAACAAGTCACTCCTCCGGG